AATTTACGTTTAAAACTTATATTTGTAATATGTATTATCATTATCATATAATAAAATTTAAATATTTTTTTTGTCAAGATTATTATATGAAAAAAGGAAATAATAAATAAATAAATACCCGAAACATATTAATTAAATCCTAATGAAGCATGTAGGGGTAAACTCCCCGAGCATACACGGTATTCCTCAGAGCGGCAGTGCAATGTGCTGATTTATGATTTTGTATTTTTTCTTGGTTAAGTAGGTACTTCTCAACCTTGGCAAAAATAATTATTGAGTAATGGGCTCTAAATCCATAAAATAAAAAAATACGAAGTGGCATTTTATCATCACGGTGACCTGTTCTAAACCCAATTCCTCTCGTAAAATTACTACCCCTGTAGTTACTTTTATTTTTTGGATTGAAATTAACTTTTATATCAATCTAATATATATAAATTCTCGTGTCGCGGTGTTTGTGGTTAAACTCCTCTGAAACGGCTTTTCCGATTCTCATGAAATTTTGTGTGCATATTGGGTAGGTCTGAGAATCGGACAACATCTATTTTTCATCCCCCTAAATATTGAGGGTAATCCACCCCTAATTTTTTTTTTCAATTTTAGATATTTTTTTTTAATTTTTTTATGATACATCATTCAAAAATACATACAACCCTAAATTTTCACCCTTCTACCACCAACCCCTATTTTTTTTATGGCGGTACGAAGTTCGCTGGGTCAGCTAGTAATATATAATATAGCCTATCAACAAAAACCACTATTGTTTGTTTACCTTCTTTCTTATACATGTAACAAGCACACAACTTTTGTCCTGGAAAAAGTTATCATTTCCATGGACAGTAAGTTTTTGTGAAATAGGTTTGTTAACATTGTTTTGTTGTATCCCGCTTGTCAGTGCTCCCTTCGAGCCAGGCCGCCTTAAGTGGATCACACGCACGCGCAACAACGTCATTGTGGATTCCCGCCAAATAGTAAGCATACCATTTCAGTGATATGGGGACAATTGAGCTAGTTTTATATATGTAAATGTATTTTTATTTTATTTTTATTTATGAATATTATGTTCTATATATATATCTGTGTGTGTAAGTATGTGGATGTGCGTGCATGTACGAGTATGTATATACAGTTAATGTGCAATTGTCTGACGCGTGCCTAAGATGTAACTTTATAATTTTTCAAAATGTAAATGTCGAAATGTCCTTCTTTTTTTTTGTTCTTATTTTATTTTTATTATTAAGTATTCTTTTATAATGATGTCGATTATGGCGTGATTCTCTAGGGCTAGTCTTGGGTTTGACAGCGGTGCATTCCTGTCATTCTCTATACAGAATGAAGGGGAGGGACTGGTGTTGAATTTGGTTTTGGGTTCGGAGAGTCACGCCAGAATCGATACCAAGTATTTATGTTATTTTGTTTACTATACCAGCGCTGATACAGTGAGAGAATATTTTCTCATTGTATCAGCATAAGCTGAGACAGGGTCCTGATTGGCCATTTTAAATGTAATGATTAATTTTTGTTCTTAGGTTGTTTCTTTTTTATATTTTTTTTTCCTGTTCCTTATACCATGGCCAATAAAGATTTTTCATTTCATTTCATTTCATTCGGTGGACTGTAATGCCGATAAGAGTCCAGGGAATGAAAGTATCGCCGATATGATACATCCAAAAGTTTTTAGAGATCCTTGAGTCAATATAGGTATATTAAATAATTTCGGTTTGTGATGTACGTTTACCGAGAAACTGTAGGTTCGATATTTCGGATGCAGTAGTATTTCAATCTAAAATTTCTAGTTTAAAAATGTATATTAAAGTTAAAGCGGATGAAGTCATTGGCGGCCGATAGTATTTCTATATAAAAAACTTGACTTGACTCGCTTGCACATGATGAATCATCAAAAATGGTTTCTGAAGGCAAACGATCAGATTGGCTTATTTCTGTAGCCAAAGTTCTGCATAATCCATGGTACTCCTCAGATACCTATACCTTTGTAGCAAAAATCAAAAAATTTTCTTTGCTATAGATTTTTTTTTATAAATAGGCTCAAGAAATGACTCCACCAGAGGTTAGGTGACGGAGGAGTCTAGACGCGAAGATAGCTGGTACAGCAGTATTACTTGCCACACCAGCTATTCTCATTTTGCCGGCCTGCAGAATTGCTACTTCACACACGTAAGAGGGCAAAGTAATCCATTTGCGGATAGTCTGACAAAGAAATGAGTTACCAAATTTCTTTGTTCACGTTGGAACAGTGGGAATAGTAGTTCACAGTAAGTCGGTGGCAACGTAAGCCAGCGCGTGTAGACTTCTGTAGGAAAGGGGAAGGGTAGGTTAAGAGACAATAACTCCTCAAAACATGCTCCAAGGTATATTCGATAAAACGCGCTTAATAACGCTTCATCACGGCGTAATTGACGAGGCTCGAGGTGTTTAGTCACCTCCTTATCGACAATAATGCGGATCGCGCGCCGCTGTAACCTATCCAAAGCATCAAAAAAGTACTTGGCGGAGCCATCCTCTGGGGTGCGAACAATATTCCACGCAAGACCGTACTTACGTCATGTACAACAAGCACAGTTGCTCAGGCGTGAAAAAACGTTAGTTTTACCGTGAAAGCGCAGACCTGGGCTTTCTTGGCAATGAACTCAACCAAGTTCTTGGTACCGCATTCCGAAATGCAGTCCAAATCTTTATTGAGTTCAATGACGTTTTCGTTCTCTTTGGTTTCTACCTGTCCAACGGCTGCGTATCCAAAATATCCCGCATGCACTGTATTATCGTCTGCATAGCAATGAATATTCTCAAGAGGAATTAAATCATTGAATGCAGCAAAAAGAGTGTAGGGGATAGGACGGAGTCCTGAGAAACACCGGCATTCACTGACATGAACTGCGAACTACATCCGTCGCCGTCCGTTGACGCTCATGCAGGAAGTCAGCCACTCAGGCACAGAACTGAGTAGGCAGACCGTATCCAGGAAGCTTGGAGAGAAGACTTATGTGCCAGACCCTATCAAAGCCTTGGCGATGTTAAGGCTGATAGCCAAAGACTCACCTCGCTTATCGATAGCCTCACCCCAGATATATGTCACGTACGCTAGAAGGTTTTTTATTCGATCTGTCCCCTTTTAATGAGACGGGTCGATTGGTATTATAAAAGTTCAGTAGCGGAAAAGTGCAGATAATCGGTTTTGGCACTAAGGGGACGATTTACTAATAATAAACTTCTCGCTTTCTAAACGCGCTTTGTTCGTTATTTTGAAAATGTACATATTAATAATTATAATTAATAATAATATTTAATAGGAGTAACAATTAATTAATTCTTCATTAATAATTCTTATTAAAAAATAATGAACAAAAATATTTACAAAGAATAAAGACATTTATTTAAATTCAAAATAGGGAACCCTTCTACTACAAAGGCGATGTTCTTGGCTGTATCATTTCGGTGGTAATTTTTTACCATTTCGGTAGACAATTTTCATTTCAGTGGACTGCCGAAAACTCATCCTTAAATATTTCAGTAATTGGTGATTGTTGAATTTGCCCCGTAGGATCGTTTAAAAACGGAAAAAAAAACCATAAACAATATTTTTTATTTTTTTATTTTGCACCTTTAATTGCATTTTGTGTAAAAACTATGCGAGATACGCGAAAATAAGTTGATACCTTTTTTGTAGAAAATTAAATTTTCTACAACTTTGTGCTACAAACTTTTTCTATTTTTCCAGCCAGTCGCGAGATATTGACGAAAAACTCGTTTTTGCACCATTTCGCATTTTTTTTTCACCCTTTGCCGTCAATGCAGCACCCTGCAATTTTAGTATATTAATCTACGAACCCTTGCGGAAATTTTCGCGTTGGTTGCAGGTGATCAACTCAAAATGGCAAAGTTAAGCCTTCATTGACTGGACTATTCAGGCAGATTACAAACAAATAGTTACACGATTACATACCCGTCATAGATGCTGTTCGCCTATAAACATCGTCCAAATCCCACAAAATTCGTCCAGCTTGGTAGTCTTCGAAACATCGCCGGAAAACTTTAAAAATCACTTCCCGCGTGCCACTCCGATTTATTTTACTCATTTTTATACCTTTCTGCGTAGTTTCGTCTTAATTTATTACAGTTTAATCCAAACAATAAAAAATACAAAAGGAAAACTGTTCCACGACTGAAACTCGATGACAGCTGATGTACATAAGTTTGGTGTTGCCAGACACATGAATAATGTTAGTTCCTCAAACATTAATGTCACGACTTTATAGACAAACTGTAGCTGAGTGCTAAAAAAGTGTTCCGAGTTTTTTTTGCAAACCGTACTTTTCAAGCGACATTTGACAGATGAAGGTCATTGGCTTTCCTATTCTTATTTGAATATTTATCTTTCTGGCATGTGATTTTCGTATAAATCTACTTCGCTTCAGAGTAAGAGATGCAAATATGAGTCAATCGGTTACTCTGTCTACTCTACGATATATAATTCTTGTTGGCAGCGCTGCAAGATACAGATAACCATAAGATAACCTACAAAAATGTATGTAGGTCATTTTTTAGGGTTCCGTAGTCCTGACAAAGAACCCTTATAGTTTCGTCATGTCCGACCCTGGTTTTGCTTGGAGACTTAACATTAGAGAGCTGCAATTTAGTGGAGCAATCACGCCGACAAAATGATAGAATAAAATTTTGGAAAAAAAAATTTTAGGGTAGCTCCCCTACATGTAACCTAGAGTTTTTTTTTTCATCGTCTACCCCATCGTGTGGGGTTTCGTTGAAAAGGTCCTTTAAAATTACTTAAGGGTTCCTAGGACTTTATCGATTTAGGGATCCGTTTGCGAAATATTGCACTTTAAAAGTGTCAATTTATGTTCGAGTAAGGCGCGAAGTTCATACTTGGGAATTGGGATCATTTCTTTTAGTTATTTTGTGGGAATTTTATGTATCGTATATACCCTGGGTAATAAGTTCTTGACCCTTATTAAAACACCAGTTAGTAGGTTACAAAATAAGTATAATATGTATGTTATTATATATAGGTATATTTACATTAAAGCAACTTCTAACATTTTGTCGATACTGCAAATCTTTTCTCTTGGTTTTCCTTTTAATTTGCCTTGTTCAATTTCATATTTGTCAATTTTTTCCCAACCAGCCCAGCCAACTATGAAATTATTCTTTTTAGCAATTATTTTACGTACTTCTTCAAAACCACCTTTCGACTTTGATAAAGTGCTAAGTTTTAAATCTTCACTGATAACTTTAGCTACTTGGAACGCATTTCCCATTGTATGTAAGATAACACCAACTGGTCCTGTTCCAAGCCAACCGGCGACATATAATCTACCTAGGTCGGATGAAACATTATTATCAATAATGCAGCCCTTGTTATTTGCTACTGTACCATACTTTGTAAACACGAGGTTTTTATCTACTGGCACACTCTTATATCCTATACTCCTAAACGCTAAACTACAATCTATAACTTCCGATTCACCAATGGGAACTGGTCTCTGTTCTTCCAATTTATCTCCTATAAGCTTGGTACAATCCAATTTAATAGCAGATAACTTTTTATCTATACCAGTTATAAATTTTGTGGGACTTCTGAAAAATATTGGCTTGAAATATTTTAATCTCTGACACTGAGAAAAATCTACTGGGTTGTCTTGTAAAGATTTTAACATTAATTCTGTGAGTCTCTTTCTTGGTCTCTCCAAGTATCCAACCATTTCCGAAACTCCTTTGAAATCTTGTTCTCTCCAAATTGTTTTACAATTTTTTAGTTTTAGTTGTTCTCTTAGTTCCTTTATCGTGAATGCTACCTGTAACGGTCCTCTTCTCCCGATTAAATAAATTTCAGTCAATTTCGACTCAGCTAAAGTTGCAAGTGCATATTCTGTTATATCTGTTTTTCTTAATTCGTCAACAGGGGTTAAAAGTATCCTTGCAACATCTAAAGCTACATTTCCCTGACCTAAAATTGCTGCTGTACTACCTGATAAATCAATCTGAAAAAAGAAACATTTGATTAAATTAAATTTGTGCAATCTGCTTACGCAGGGACTTTGGTCATTTCGGCCCGGTGCTGACTTGGGCTTGCGGGCCGAAACAACACACACCATGCGACCAATGTTAATGCAGCTCCGGAGAGGTATAAACGATTGCAGTTAATGCTGTGTTTGTTAAATGTAGGTTCACCCTAAGGCGCCACATTCATAAGGGAGAGAATCTCCACAAGACGATGATTATCTCGACAGTGTTTTAACGCGAATCGCTACAGAAGCGCCAAGAACATCCGCAACGACTCGCATCTGGAATGATTTCCGTCGTCTTCATGAAGTTATATATCTAATAACTTCTTGGTCGCCTCTGGTGTTTGACAACGAGCTCGCCGCGTTTTGGTTGCAGCGAGCGCGCGGCGGGCTCTCGGCGGATGATATGCTGATACTGATGTTTTGTTCGCACTCAACCTCTTGTCATATCGCCTATTAGAGGTTATCGTAACCAACTATCGAACAGCGTCATGAAATGGTAGACGCTAGACGATAACTTGAGTAGCGGTTTTTGACACACATCAAAGCGTTTATGAGGCACGATAAATTTGTATGTGCAGGTGAATGCGCGTACACTATATGTACAGTGTTCAATTCTGCTTCTCTCACTTGTGGAGTTAATTCCTTTGCCCAGAACAACAATACCCTTAGTTTCCTAAGGTTTTTTTGACGGCATGTCGCCATGCGTCTTCCTGATATAGCAGGTTCTTGAAGATGCTTGTACAGTGTTCAATACTAGAAATATTTTTTAGGAAATATGTACCTTTAAATTTTTGTCGCTGGGAGAACCATTATACCATCCAACAAAATTCCTAGCAGCTACTATATTTGTTGCATCTTCATTTTCAATACCAAGTGTTTTATCTTCATCTGCTCCATAACACTGAAATAAGTGGGATAATAATCTTATTCATATTGTCTACAATATTAAAATACATTTCAAAATCTGCTAGTGTTTTCAATAAGTCACGTGTGTAAAGCTAGCATATCTATCACTTCGCGGGTCTCATGCAACAGGGGCGTATACGCATAAACACAACTTTACAGGACGAACAAAAAAACTGTATATATTTGGGCTCGGTTACGAATTTGAAGTATTTCTATGAATTACACGTACTAAAGGAAACGTAAGAGTGGTATGGAGTAAAATCTATATAAGATAAAATAAACGGTAGTTTTGGTACTTACGCCTCTACTACACGACTTTGCTAAACGTCGTAGGCCAAAATGCTTTAAAATATTATACATAATGTACGGCGTAAAAACTGACTCCATCAATATCGATAATGGTCAAGTTTTCTTAATTCGATAGTTATATTTGGACACTAAAGTAATTGATTCTACGAAAATTAAATCGAATTTTGCTCACAGTTTCCATATTAAGCTATATTTTATATGCCTCTTTTGCATGATACCTACTAATAAAGTTTTTGGAGTAATGACGGACCAGACATGATTTAGCGCCATGTAAAGGTGAGAATAAGATTTACCAAAGTAAATAAAACTTATAAATATACTCGGAAATAATACCAGTATATTATCAGATCAATTAAGTCAAACAAGAAGCTCTTTAACTTAAGTTTTTTTCGTTTACAGTTTCTGTATGCCTCTTTTGCCCAGGTTTTTTAATAATTCTAAAAGCTAAAAGTATATTTCATATATAATATAATATATACATATAATGTATATAATTATATGTAAATAAATAAAAAAAATATATAATATATATAATAATATGACGATTTGTATTTATGGGCAAAGGGAAAACGAATAGAACAGTGAAATAAAAAAAAATCACAGTTTGCGCATACGCCCCTGTTGCATGAGACCAGCGATGTAGTAGATATTTTTTTCGGAGCTTCCTTGCTATTAATAGTGTATTTAGGCATGTATATTATCAAACCTGTTTTTATTAGATTAAAAGAGATATAAATTTTGCTAATCATACAATAGATAAAAAAATCATTCTTCATCATCATCATCAGCCTAATAATGTTCCCACTGCTGGAGCACAGGCCTTCCCTATGGATGGAATAGGGAGATTGGGCCATGACCCACGCAGGCTCAGTGTGGATTGGTGGGTGCTAACGACTGCAGATGCAGCCGGGACCAACGGTTTAACGTGCCTTCCAAAGCACGGAGGAGCTCGAGATTTTGATCACCCATCCAATGACCGACCACTGCGAAAGTTGCTCAACCTAAAAATCATTATTATATTTAGTACAGATTAAGACAAAGCAAAGTAAGTACTTTAATACTTACTGACTAATTTTTCAGAATTATTATTTTATTTTACTATATTTTATTATATTACTCTTTTGTAATTAATGTACCCACTTGGTAGTATTGTGGGCCTGCATGTGTCGTCACTTCGCTTGGAGTAGAGGCAAAATTTAGCTACTCCTTTTTACCTGGAAAGCTTTTCTTCAACAACTTTTGAAAATTGTTGCTTTTAACATATTCAAATTAAAGGTTGTTTTAAAAAACTTAAACAAAGGACATTACCAGTAATACAGCATCATAGTTTTGTCGTAGTTGACATAAAGTTACATCTTTGCCTAAAGTTACATTTCCGTAGAAGTTAACATTGGGATGTTGGGCTACTTTCGTGAACTGGTTGATAACATTTTTTACTTCTGGGTGATCTGGAGCTACCCCGTACCTAGAACAAATAATAATTTTATTCCTTTACTGCGAATAGTACCACCAATGTTTTTAGATCAGTAGGGTGCACTATATAATTGTTGTACTCCCTTACGCGGAATTCTTCATGTAGTAAATTAATGTAGTTCTACAATGCTGTTAAATAAGGTTTGATTCTCAAAATAAGAAAGAAGACTTTAAATTGCTCAATATTATGATGTATTAAAATATTTAAAAATCAACAGAAAAAATTTAAATGTATAGAGATTGGCCCTCGAGGTGCAAAACTTGGTCCCCACGTATATCAGTGATTGGCCCTCTAGATATTTTTTAATTGTATTATTTTTACCTTAATTGCATACTAAGATATGTATAATCGCCTGTGTAGACGATGGAGTTTTTTACGCAGACAAAAGTCACTCAAGCTTGAAAAAATGACCGCCGAGGACTTCTCAAGAGCATGATAGACCATGCTAGTTAGGCAACTAGCTAGGTAGCTATCTATGCTGCTAACTAGGCAACTAGTTAGGCTGCTAACTAGGTAGCTTCGCGGGTAGCTAATTGGGCAGCTGGGTGCGTGAACACTGACGCGTAACCTACCGCGTGCTAACGACTGCAGAAATGCGAGCTCGAGATAATAATTTTTGGTCAAGTCAAGTAAATCTTTTTTTGCTAGCTAGGCAGCAAGCTAGGCTGTTAGCTAGGTAGATAGCATAGCTAGGCAGATAACAAATCTGCTAGCTAGGCTGCTAGTAGGCAGCATGGCGGGTAGCTAATTGGGAAGTGAGGTGGGTGATTACTTACGCGTGAACTACTGCGTGCCTGCAGAAACACGAAAGAGCGAAGAGATAATATAGTTTTCGGTCAAGTCTAGTAAATCTTTTCAAATGAAATGAATGAATGAATTTTCGCGTGGCCCCTATTTTTTTTAAGGGCTTTTATAGGGACCAGGCGTAATTCTTCCGTCCCAACCTGGCGAGGCTGCTAGCTAGGCAGCGAGGTGGGCAACTAGCTAGGCTGCTAGCTAGGCAACCAGCTAGGCTGCTAGCTAGGCAACTAATTAGGCTGCTAGCAAGGCAGCATGGCGGGTAGCTAAGTCGGGCCGCGAGGTGGGCGATCACTGACGCGTGAACCACCGCGTGCTAACTGCAGAAACACGAAAGAGCGAAAGAGATAATAAGTTTTCGGTCAAATCTTTTCAAATTACAGGGGCCCAGCAAAATTTTTCCGTTACAACTTAGCGAGTAGTTTTAGGCGACGAGCTAGGCTGTTAGCTAGGCAACTAACTACGCAACAATCTAGGCAGCTAGATGGCAGGAAGCTAGGCTGCCTAGCTAGCAGCCTAGCGGGTAGCTAATTGGGCAGTGTGGTGGGCGATCACTTACGCGTGAACCACCGCGTGCAGAAACACGAAAGAGCGAAGAGATAGTTTTCGGTCAAGTCTAGTAAATCTTTTCAAATGAAATGAATGAATGAATGTTCTCCTGGCCCCTATTTTTTTAGAGGCTTTTATAGGGGCCAGGTGAAATTCTTCCGTCACAACTAAGCGAGGCTGCTAGCTAGGCAGCGAGGTGGGCAATCAGCTAGGCTGCTAGCTAGGCAACCAGCTACGCAACGAAGCCTAGGCTGCTAGCTGGGCAGCTAGCTAGGCAACTAGCTAAGCAGGTAGCTAGTCAACTAGCTAGGCAGTATGGTGGGTAGCTAATTGGGCAGTGAGGTGGGCGATCTCTGACGCGTGACCCACCGCGTGCTAACTGCAGAAACACGAAAGAGCGAAAGAGGTAATTTTCGGTCAAATCTTTTCAAATTATAGGGGCCAACGAAATTTTTCCGTTACAACTTAGCGAGTAGTTAGGCAACTAGCTAGGCGCTAGCTAGGCGCTAGCTAGGCAACTAGTTAGGCAACCAGCCCAGGCTGCTAGCTAGGCAACCAGCTAGGCTGTTAGCTAGGCAACCAGCTAGGCTGCTAGTTAGACAACTAGTTAGGCTGCTAGCTAGGCAGGAAGCTAGGCAACTAGCTAGGTTGCTGGCTAGGCAACTAGCTAGGCTGCTAACTAGGCAACTAGTTAGGCTGCTAGCTAGGCAACTAGCTAAGCTGGAAGCTAGGCAACTAGCTAGGTTGCTAGCTAGGCTGCTAACTAGGCAACTAGCTAGGCAGCTAGCTAGGCTGCTATTTAGGCATCTAGCTAAGCTGGTAGCTTGGCAATTAGCTAGGCTGCTAACTAAGCAACTAGCCTAGCTTCCTATAGGGAAGAGGTTGAGTGAAGAGAGGTCGGCGGTAGTACCTTCGCGACACAACACGCCCTCTTTGGTCCGGATTTCAACCGAAACGGTAGCCTCTTTGGGTAGCGCCAGAGAGGAAATGGTCACGCGTCCCGTCAGAGGGCCGCAGCGAGGAGTGGCGGGGTCCGGACCCCCCGGGGTGGCTTGCCGCTCTGGATGATTAGGGTCATGCTGACGAGGCAAGAGTGTGTGGAACAACTGGGGTACTCTGAACCGGTAACCCAGCCACACATTTCGAGCTTCCGATGTCGCACCTGACACTAACTCTCTGCTCCTATATCCAGTCGGTAGTCCTTGTGCACCACTATGGGCACTCCCAAATGTGCGAGCTCCAAGGAGGGTGGGAAGCTTAGTGAATGAATTAACAAACACGAACAATGGACACCAACAGGTTCAAAGTTCCGCCAACACCCGATGGGTATTACCCAGAGGGTACTGCTACTCGCATGCAGACCGAGAAATCGGAATGCCTGCTTGAGGAAAGCACCACCACACAGTTCAGTCGGAGGACAAGGGCTCTGGGACGCCAGGGGGAGCGAAAGGCAGCCAGCTGCCCTAGCAGCCCCAGGTGACGCCGGACCCGAGTCGGAAGCTGGACCGCCCAAAGCCGAAGGGGAAAGGAACCGCGAAGACGAAGTCTGGGGCCAAGCGGGCTAGGCTCGATGAGACAGTGTCTCCTCGAGGCGAATCCAAACGGCCTAAGACGACGGCGACCTAGACCACCCCGAAATCCTACGCGGCTGCAGCGGCCTCCTCGGCTCTCATCAGGTGCGCCGTCACGTCGAAGACTGGGTTTATCTCGAGACCGACGGCGGAGCAAATTGAGGAGAAGCTCGAGGTAGCCTTTTTACAGGCAGCGATGAGCACGGAACGTCTGTTCGAGGGAGGGTCTAGCTTTTTGCGGGAAACCCCTCTACGCGGACGGGTGCCTTCGCTTTACGTGCACCAACACCGCAACGTTTGATTGGTTTCGACAGATGGTACGAGACCTCCACGACTCGGAACTGGGAGAGCTTGTTGTCCTCCGGGACGACGAGATCCCCAAGAGAGTCAGGTGTGGTTTTGTGCTGCCCAAGCTCTGGAAGCACGATCAGGCGTTGCTAGGCAAATGCCTACAGATCGGGAATCCGGAGCTAAGACCCGAACGTTGGCTGCTTAACGGCCTCCAACAGCAGCCTACCATCGGGGCCACATTCGTTGAGGTTTCGATCCCTGAGGACGTTATGCCTGCGATCCTGGCTAGGGGACGCCGACTCAGCTTTATGTTTGGGTCGGTGTACCTGAAGTTCAGGGACGCCAAGGGGAAGTACGTCGACACTCCGCTGACTTCCGACCCTTTAGCACCACTCGGGGCTCAAACCACAGCGAACGTTACACCAGCGCCTCCAACGCCATCTACATCCAGTGCTGGCCCCACGGACACCGCCGTTCCACGTGCCTCGTCACCGGTTGTCGAAGTTCCGGGACCCTCGCAGGTGGCGTCCTCGCCGCTTAGTGAGGACTGTCTCCTGGAGCTCGACGGGCTGGGGCTTGAGGACGTCGTCCTGCCAGAAAGATGGCGTCCCTCTGTAGTAGTGCAAACATACTGCAAATAAATCTCCACCACAGCGTAACCGCTACGGCTCAGCTTCGGCGGTGGTTGAGACCAACAACACAGCAGTCGCACTAATCCAGGAGCCGTGGATAAGGAGTGGCACGGTGCGAGGACTCTCATACAAAACAAAGCAACAGCAGAGGTAACCAATTATTTGAATTCCTCCTGACCACTTACCTAGAGTTAATCAACACAGGCAACGAACCTACCTTCGTAGGCAGACGGTGCAAGACCATCATAGACCTGACCCTCGCGACACCAAAAGCGGCAACGGCCATATCTGGCTAGCATGTCTCCGATGAGGCATCATGCTCGGATCACCGCTGGATCCGCTTTACACTACAGGTAGAAACTCTATCTATATCCGGAAAACCGATAAACACCGCTACGCACAACTACTGGCGGACCTTCTAAGAAACAACTCCGGTAAGGGCAGAATTGAAACCACGGAGCAGCTAGAACAACAGGTAAAACACTTGACAGACAGCATAACGCGTTGCTACGAAGAGGCCTGCCCCCTTAAACTCCCGAACTCGAGAGTATTCGGAAAACACCACTGGTGGGGGCCGGAGCTCGAGAGATTGAGAGGAAAGGTGAGGAGGCGCTTTAACAGAGCAATGAATACATGCAACGACACAGACTGGGACAACTACAAAGCTATTAAAGCTAAGTTCAAGAAACGTATCAGATACTGGAGTACAGCCTCCTGGAGGAACTTCACCGAGGAGATAAACTCCACCAACCAGGCAAACCGGGTAAGGAAATTCAAGGCCCTGGCGTGCTGGGAAGCCTGCGTCGACACTGTCCCATAATCGGGCTGACTGCGACGCTATCCTCCTAGAAACCCACTTTCCGGACTGCCAGCTTACAGAGCAGGTGACTTGGCAAGATGCACCTCCAAGTACAACAGAAGGATGCTGGAGACTAGTAGAGACGGTAATTACGCCTGAGGGAGTAAAGTGGGCTATCAACTGCTTTGCTCCTTTCAAGTCTGCTGGCTCTGATGGCATCTTTCCAGCACTACTACAATGGGGCGGACAGGACGTGGTCGATGCGGCTACTCGTATATTAAGATCATGTCTGGTTCATCGGTACACTCCACATCTATGGAAGAAGGTCAAGGTAGTATTCATACCCAAACC